ACGACCGGAGCTGTCAAAGATGTTTACGATGCGCTTGGGTGTGGGTGTGAGAGATTGGTTAGGTGTGGTGTGTGTGAGAGAGTGCGGAGGAGTGGTGTGCGAGGGTGAGGAGAGGGATGAGAATTATGGAGGATTGAGTTTGAGGAGTAGGCCCTCAAAAACGTCTAGGTCGTATTAATCGACTTATTTGTGGAAGGCTGAACTATAATTTCATAGTGTGTGGTGGTGCGTCAGAATTGTTTTCAGTGATTATGTTGAGGTGGGAAGAAAGGGTCGACTTTATGTATGTACCGCAGGTTTTTATAATGTTTGACTGTATTACTCGTGTTGGGTGGTATGGGAGATAACCGTGTTGCCATGCGAACGATAAAAAACCGATGTACTCTTTGTCAAAGAGTAACTCAAGAAGAAGGTGGGTTCTTGGACTGGCGAGGGCTTGCGGAAAATAGGATTCTGTTCGGGAGACGCCGAGACGACAAGACTCACACACATCCTCGCCACCTCCACCTCCGAGAAGAACACGCCGTCCCAAACCACTCGCAGGACTTACATGGACGTCTTATTAGCTGCCGACAACGCATGTGGTAGTGACTCGCTCTCTGACGTGACTAAGGAGGGGAAAAGAAAAATGCTCCCAGCTCGCACTAGCATGTGGACAGACCAGACTCTCCAGCTAGTAGTTCCTCTGGGGTGAGTCGCCCTCGTCTCTCGCGGGGAGATTGTGGCCCTGCGGTTTATCAAGGGGGGCGCTGGGTGTAAACTCAATTATGCTCCGTTGGCGCCTGTGGCTGGTGATGCTACGTGAGTGTGTGTGTGTGTGTGTAGTGTGGTGTGTGTGTGTGTGTGTGTGTGTGTGTGTGTGTGTGTGGTGTGTGTGTGTGTGTGTGTGTGTGGTGTGTGGTGTGTGTGTGTGTGTGTGTGTTGTGTGTGTGTGTGTGTGTGTGTGTGTGTGTGTATGTGCTGGGTTGTTGTGGTGGTGTGTGTGTGTGTGTGGTGGTGTGTGGGTGGTGGTGTGGTGTGTGTGTGTGTGTGTGTGTTGTTGTGTGTGTGTGTTGTTGGTGTGTGTTTGTGTGTAGGTGTTGTTTGTGTGTCGTGTGTCGCTATGTGTGTGTGCGTGTGTGCGTGTGGTGTGTGTGTGTGGTGGGTGTGGTGGGTGGTGTGTGGTGTGTGGTGTGTCTACGGTGGGGTGGGTGTGTGTGGTGGTGGTGGTGTGTGGTGTGTCAGTGTGTGTGTGTGTGCGTGCTATGTGGGGTGTGTGTGTGCGTGGTGTGCGTGGTGCGTCGCGTGTGTGGTGTGGAGTGTGTGAGTGTGTGTGTTGTGTATCGTATAAGTGGTATAATGAAGGCGTTATGAGGAAAATGTTTTACTAGAAGGTTAGGACGCAGATTGCAGCAGTGGTGTGAGGAGAGGGAGGGAGAGTGAGTACATTTTGAGTGTTGTGGTGGGTGTGTGTGTGTGTGTGTGGTGGTGTGTGTGTGTGTGTGTGTCGTGTGTGTGGTGTGTGTGGTGTGTGTGTGTGTGTGTGTGTGTGTTGTGAGTGTGTGGTGGTGTTGAAGTTTATTGATCCTGGGTCTTGGTTTTGTGTGAGGGGGGGGGGTGGGGGGGGGGGGGGGGGCGAGCTGTACGTGTGTGAGTGAGAAAATGAGAGTGGGGTGGGGGGTTGAGTGTTCTCGGATTGGAGTGAGCGAGAGACAAGTACGAGCTGACAAAGCCGGTGGAACGGGGACGAGCCTGTGGATAATAGAGGACGTGTGTGATAAGAGGTTATGGTGTGGAGAAGTGAATGGTGATGGAGTAGTTGAGCAGAAGAAAATTTATTGAACTGTAAGTCGGTGTGGTGTTGGACGTCTGGGGGGGAGGGATGGCGGATAGGTCTGGAGAGTGTGCGTCAAGTGTGTGTGTGTGTTACAAGAAGCACAATAGGGAAGTGTGTGAATAAGTCGAGACACTACTGTCGACGAGCAAACTCGTTCCTGTACTGTAAATCTGCGCTCCTGAATTCTAGTGAAACACTTTCTCGTACATTGAGGAGAGTGTTTAGTTGACGGCGGTGTGTTACTCGGGAATTATCCAAGGGGGAAAATTGAAACCTTTTGTACTGTATGGTAGGGGAGTTTGGACGGATTACGTATCGAGTAATGTACGTGAGTTACTAGTGTTATTAAGGGGGGGCAGCACTAGAACTTCGTATGGTTGGATGATATGGGTTATTGAATTAGGAGTGGTTCAGATTGGGCATTTGTGCAGTTTTACATGGAAATTGGTTTGTTGGATACAGCGTTTCGAGTTGTTTCTGTGTATCGCCGACAAACGTTAATCTTGTAGGCACGTGAGGCGCAAATTGGCAAGGAGTAGTAAGAGAGAACATAGGAAGAAAATGATTAGTAAGGATGAAAAGGACGTCGGAGTGGTGAAATGTACGGCCAGGGAGACAGAGGGAGGGCAACAGGACTGCTGGTTTTCTGTGTTCGGCCCGGTCTGGGGAGTTGGTTATGTTGATAAATTTAGTTGAACGTTTGGGCTTTTGAAGAAAGACTCGGGGACTGGTAATAGCAAAGAGCGAGTCGAAGTCCTGCGGCCTGAAGAGGAGAATTTTGCACTGACGAGGTAAAATGGGACGACTAACAAGTGAAGGATGATGTCGCACGCGCGACTCAGTATAGGAAAGGCGACTCGGAAATGAGTAGACTAATACGTCGTTTTTGTTTTCCGAATTGAGTGTACTTTCTGGAGGCGCGACGGAGCGTGTGGGGTCTGAGGGGGCGGGCGACAAAGGTAATAGTGCGGGCGAAATGGGATCGTAGCCTGGGGGACGTCGGCCAGGTGAGGCCTCTTTTTTCGTGGAATTTGTTTGGTTTGGAGCGAGGTTCAAGAGCGAGTAAGAACGGAGAAAGACTGGGAAACTGGTTTGGAGTGGATTTGAGTTGAGAAAGTGGGGAACATGTGTCTTCTAAGCAGACGTGACACGCGACTGATGTTGAAGGGAATTCGCGAAGGTGTATTAGCTGCATAGAGGAGGTGGGGGAGATGTGCGTGCAGCCGCGTGTCCTTGTTGGGGCTCTCTGGGTGTTATACCCGGTGCGTCTGTAAATGTAAAAGTTATCTAAGGAAGTACACAAAAGGGTAGGAGGAGAGGGGGGGGAGCATAGGTTGGTGTAAACGATTTTTACGATATGAACAATGAATAACCGAATTAAAGTTTCAGAAAAGATGTAGAACGATAGAGCATCGTGGTACGTAGCGAGAGATGGGAATACGAGCGTGTGTATGTGCGAGGTGAGTAGAATGTCGTTGACTCTTTTTGGCACAAGGGAGATCGGTTGGGGTATAAGATTCTCTCATGGTGATGTGACACTCATTACCATCATTATATTGGAGCCGTCCTACTTTGGGTGAGAGAAGTTACCGAGGCGTGTAGCGTCTTCGTGTGGTCTCGAGCTTACAAAAGAGGACGAAAATTTGGGTAGGAGTGCGGTGGGTCGGCGGACGATGCATGATCCTCGTCTACCCGGGCGATCAGGGGCGCATGGGTGTCGCGGGTGCCTCTCGTTGACGCCTTAATCACCGCCTCCCAAAGGGCACGGGTGAGCGGTTGGCCCGGTGGGGTGGGTCGGCGCGTCCTCCACTTGACCCTGGAGAGGTGTCATCTTCGAGGTGTTGAGCGTATAATGCCAACCAGGCCCCTTTGACTACTTGCGGCGCCGGCTGGGATCGCCGAGTTCCGTCAGGTTCGGGATGACTGGAGCTCCCGGTGACGTCTGTTCGATTTACATTGGAAAAGACGTAGCGGGGAGTTAAGACGTAGGTGGTGCTGTGGTGCACGTTTGAGTCGTATGCAACCTTAGGTTTTTTTACATTACGCAGGTCCCACGGCCTTTGACTCTTTCGGTTGCATAGAACAGACTCTGATACGGTTGGTGGTAGATTTCCTTCACCCCGGCCCGTCTTTTTGCTCTCTTTGACACGTCTTTTGACTGTAAAATAAATACAAGACTACCAAAAGGGCGGAGAAGTAGGTTTTTCATCGACTTTTGCAACAAAGAATTCATTTATAATGGCATCGTTACTTACTCATTTACATGAAATGGTAGTGGGGAGTAAAAGTAGGTTGTCGCGTTGCACCCGTTAGTCGTTTGCAACTTAGTTTTACATTTACACAGGTCCCACGACACTTTATGGAAAAAACTTTAGACTCTTGGTGTCAAGTGTTGCGCAGGAGGAAACAACTACCGTGCACTTTGGGGAGGGGAGGCTTTGGGGGGGAAAAAAAGAAGTAGTAAAGGGTTCCCGTCGAAATTACCCGCGCGCCCGAACTAATGTAACTCTAAGTTCTCCAATCGATGTCACCACTACCCCTTAACTTTGTCCCGGTTTTCCTAACGTGCCCCAATTGTCTGTACATACCTACTCGAAATTACTGAGAGGAGGGGGGGGGGGGGGGAGAGGCAGACC